TTGGGGACATGGGCATGGGCGTTGGGTCCAAGGCCCAATCTTGATGGATCTGGGCATGAGCGCCTGAAACCTAGGCTCGGCCTCAATATTTCCAGGCTTAGCGTCCTGGGTACGGGCACTAGTGTTTCGAGCCTGGCCTCGATGGATCTGGGGCATGGCCTAGATGAACCCGGGCCAGGGCGTTGGGGACCCAACCCCATTGCCAAGGGCCAAGGAACAAGCATTAGGGTTCATGTGCCTAAGTGCATAGTTTTTGGTACAAACGTCCATACCTAGTCATATTTTGGAAAATGATTTACAATATTTTAAAGAGGAAATCATTTTTCCTGAATTTAAGTTTTTGTAGGAAAACATTTTCTACTAACTTAGAAAATGTTTTCCATTGCCTCATTTTCCTAAGCAATCCAAATACTGAAAAATGAGGAAAATATTTTTCGCGAAAAGGTTACATTTGTTTGAGTGAAATAATTTTTTGTGAATTAGTATTCTAAACTTTCACGCATTGGGTTTGCTCAAAATGATTAATCAATGAAAAACCATTTATGATCAAAGAAAATATGCATGCATAAAGTTAGGAAAATGAATTTCTTAACCTAAAAATGGGAAACACATTTTCCTGGAAATCATTTTCCTTTATCACGAAGTTTTCTCCAAAATAAACACATCCTAAACACGTGAAATTATGAAGTTTCACACTCAAGTACCGGTATTACCTCAAAGCGATCTATCTTGCAAATCTTCATACGAGGGAAACCTTTCTTCTGAAACATATTCTAGGCAATAATTTGGAGGTTTGTCCAGAGCGTGAATCATCTGCAGCAGTAACCTAGATGAGAGCGAAAGTCAGTTAACATGATTTCCTAAAGTTTAGACTTCGATAAATTTGTCGAGTACATAGCCACACTCCATAAACAAAAGCTGAACTTCTAATCATCATCTGCTCCCACCATGAGCTCGAACAGCTTAGGTAGCGAATGATAACCATTCTGTTCCAGAATGAGTTCCTGAAACAGAAATAGATTTTTCTATTTCTGGTTCCAAGATGAGTTTCTGAGAAATGAAACCCGTTTGATAACGACCAAAAATTTCTATTTCTGGAACAGAAACCCGTTTGATAGCAGCACAAAATTTCTATTTCCTGAAACAAAAACTCGTTTGATAAACAACACAAAATTCTATTTCCAGGAACAAAATTCCATTTTTTTAGAAATGGAATAAAAATAATTAGAAAATCCAAAAAATTCCTAAAAATCTAAAAAAAATTCAAAAAATCCAAAAAAAATTGAAAAATTCTAGAAAAATTCATCACAATTTCCAAAAAAAAAAAATTCATATTTCTGGAAAATGGGAAATTTGTTGAATTTTTTCAAAAAAAATCAAAAATTTCAAAACTTCATAGAATGGCTTAAAATACCTGTGGCCACCCACTTTTAGTAAAATTTAAATTTTTTAGGTGCCCAAAAAAAATCAAAAAATCAAAAATTTCAAAACTTCACAGAATAGTTTAGAATACACGTGGCCACCCATTTTGAGTGAAATTTAAATTTTTTAAGGTGCCCAAAAAAATTTCAAAACTCAAAAATTTCAAAACTTCACAGAATAGCTTAGAATACCTGTGGCCACCTACTTTGAGTGAAATTTTAATTTTTTGATGTGAAAAAAAGCAAAAAATCAAAAGTTTCAAAACTTCACAGAATGGTTTAGAATCTGTGGCTACCCACTTTGAGCGAAATATAAATTTTTTTAGGTGCCGAAAAAAATAAAAAAATAAAAAAATTAAAAATTTCAAAATTTCACAAAATGGCTTAGAAGACCTATGGCCACCCACTTTGAGTGAAATTTAATTTTTTTAGGTGCCCAAATGGTATTTTTGATTTTTTTTTTATTTTTGATTTTTTTTTGGCACCTAGAAAATTAAATTTCACTCAAAGTGGATGGCCACATGTATTCTAAGCCATTATGTGAAGTTTTGAAATTTTTGATTTTTTGCTTTTTTTTCTTTTTTTCGGCACCTAAAAAAAATAAAATTTCATTCAAAGTTGGTGGCCACAGGTATTCCAAGTCAGTCTGTGAAGTTTTGAAATTTTTGCTTTTTTGCTTATTTTTATTTTTTTCCGGCACCTAAAAAATTAAATTTCGCTCAAAGTGGGTGGCCACAGGTATTCTAAGCAATTCTGTGAAGTTTTGAAATATTTTATTTTTTTATTTTTTTCGGCACTTAAAAAAATTAAAAATTTCGCTCAAAGTGGATGGCCACAGGTATTCTAAGCCATTCTGTGAAGTTTTAAAATTTTTGATTTTTTGTTTTTTTTTTATTTTTTTAGGCACCTAAAAAAAATAAAAATTCGCTCAAAGTGGGTGGCCACAGGTATTTTAAGCCATTCTGTGAAGTTTTGAAGTTTTTATTTTTTTGGCATCTAAAAAAATTTAAATTTCGTTCAAAGTGGACGGCCACAGGTATTCTAAGCCATTCTGTGAAGTTTTGAAATTTTTTATTTTTTTAGGCACCTAAAAAAATTTAAATTTCGCTCAAAGTGGATGGCCACAGGTATTCTATAAGCCATTCTGTGAAGTTTTGAAATTTTTTATTTTTTGCTTTTTTATTTTTTTAGGCACCTAAAAAAAATAAAAATTCGCTCAAAGTGAGTGGCCACAGGTATTTTAAGCCATTCTGTGAAATTTTGAAATTTTTATTTTTTTGCTTATTTTTATTTTTTTGGCATCTAAAAAAATTAAATTTCGTTCAAAGTGGATGGCCACAGGTATTCTAAGCCATTCTGTGAAGTTTTGAAATTTTTTATTATTTTTATTTTTTTCGACACCTAAAAAAATTTAAATTTCGCTCAAAGTGGATCGCCACAGGTATTCTATAAGCCATTCTATGAAGTTTTGAAATTTTTTATTTTTTGCTTTTTTAATTTTTTTCGGCACCTAAAAAAAATTAAATTTTCGCTCAAATTGGGTGGCCACAGGTATTCTAAGACATTCTGTGAATTTTTTAAAATTTAATTTTTTGATTATTTTTTATTTTTTTTAACATCTAAAAAAATTAAATTTCGCTCAAAGTGGGTGGCCATATGTATTCTAAGCCATTTTGTGAAATTTTGAAATTTTTGATTTTTTGATTTTTTTTATTTTTTTTGGCACCTAAAAAAATTTATATTTCGCTCAAAGTGGGTAGCCACAGATTCTAAACGATTCTATGAAGTTTTGAAATTTTTGATTTTTTGCTTTTTTTTCCGACATCAAAGATCGTGACTTCCAGATGAACATGTGTTTTGAAGAAAGAGTTCTCTCAGAAATGATTCTCATTTTTTGTCTAGAAATAGAAAACCTACTTTTTTTTTGTTCTGATTTCTGGTTCAGAATCGGTTCTGGAATAAAAAGTTGCTCCAGAAATAGAAAAATGAAATTGCGTTACCAAACGGGTTTCTGGTCCAAAGCTATTTCTGGGAACAGAAAACCAGTTCTGGACAGAACCAGAATGGTTATCATGCGCTACCTTAATATCCAATTGATAAAGGGTACCGATCTTTCCCCTGCAAAAGGGGAGGGAAGTCAATTGCGAGTTCTCCGTAATATAAATTTAGATTTACCTCGACTTAGGATTGATTTCAAAACCGTTTCGGTTCTCGATTCTATGCGGAGCAGGCCTTTTTCGGGTAGAACCAATTGATTCAGGGCATAGAACGGAAACCGAACCCATCAAGAATGATTTTCAGTTTTGGGGAGCTAAACCGGTCGTCGTACATCTACTCCCACCATGAGCTTAAATTCAATTAGATAAGGGTATTGGTCTTTCCCCCTAAAAAGGGAGAGAATTCAATCGTGAGATCTATTTAATATAGATTTAGATATACCTCGACTTAGGACCGGTTTCAAAACCGGTTCGGTTCTCAACCAGTTCAAGATATGGAACGAAAATCGAACCGACGGTTCATAGTCTTTGAGAATCGAACCGTCTGTAGTGTGAAGGGGTCTTTCCTCCAGGGGGTCGCCCTAACTCGGCCGCAAGTTTCCCCTTTTGTTTACGTGTATATGGGCCCGTTTGGTAACGTGCCAAATAGTGAAAATTTCTGTTCTTTTGTTCCCAGAAATAGTTTGGGAACAGAAATGCGTTTGGTAAACTTTTTATTCCTCGGCACATTTTTGCAAAAATTTGTGCCGAAAAACAATTTTGGAAGAGAAACAAGAAGTAAAAAAAAGTTGCTTCTTGTTTCTCGACACAATTTTGAGAATCGTTTTTTTCTTTTTCTTTTTTTCTTTTCTTATTTTGTGGTGTTGTTCTTGGTGAGCCGGCCGCCGGCGACCAGCCGGCCGGCCGGACCGGCCGCGCCAGCCAGCCCCAGGCCGGCGAGGGCGTCACGGCCTCGCCGGCGAGGGCGAGGCGGACCTCGCCGCTGGCGAGCGGCCTCGCCGGATCGAGCGAGGCCGAGCCTCGCCCGGAGATGGCGAGGCTCGGCCTCGCCGTCGTGACCCACGGCGGCCGAACTCGCCGTGGGTCGCGACGGCGAGGCTCGGCCTCGCCGATCCGGGCGAGGCCGAGCCTCGCCGTCTCGGGCGAGGCCGCCTCGCCCGGGCGGCGAGGGTCCAGCCCTCGCCCTCGCCGGCGAGGGCGACCTCCGCCTCTGCGGCGGCCGGCGAGGTCCGTGACGCCCTCGCCGGCCACGGGCGTGCTGGTCGCCGACCGCTGACCGCCATGGCCAAAGAAGAAAGTAAAAAGAAAAAAAAAATTTAAACAATTCAAAATATTATTAAAATATTATTTGGGAACGAAATTTTGTATAGTTACTAAACGCATTTCGTTCTTTTCTACTCTAGGAATAGAAATTTTGGACATTTATCAAACGCCTTCAAATACTTCGAAATTGTTTCCAGCAGAATAAAAAAAAATCATTTGTGTTCAGAAATAGCGCCCGGGCACATAATGGTATTCATGCGCACCCTATATATTCTTGTTTCCCCTTTTGTTTATTATGTGCATATTTTTGCTTTCAGCCTTTTCCCCCGCTCCTCCTCCTCCCGAGAGAGATGGTCGTGCAATCGTTGAGCCCTGATATGGCGCTCGGCGATCTCGCGAAGGGATCGATCATCCCCATGTCGACGGAGAGGTCGCTGATCGTGGCCGTCGACGGCACTGCGGCCATGGGGCCGTACTGGAAAACCGTCGTTTCCGATTACCTCGAGAAGATCGTCAGGTCCATCCGCGCACCCTCTTTTGTACTAACGATGATGATTCCTCTATCCCACTCGTTATATGATGAATCGAGTCCACGTTACTTGGGAAAAAAGTTCGTTATTTGCTTTGTAGCTGAGATAAATGTTACGTCGATCGCAATATCGCGGGTGCTTAATTTGACGAGATGGGTTTTTGCGCAGGGCTTTCGTGGGGAACGAGGTGCCCGCACAGGTATGCGTTTGTTTAGAAGCACTGGTACTGTATGTGATGATGAATTGGCACTGTGACTTCTGCTGGAGTCCTGTTTTTGGTTGCCAATCGCAGCCGCATAATTTTTCGGAATTTCTGAAACTGTTTTCTCGGCTTGTGTTTCCCTGCAGAAATCCAATTGTGATCTCTCTCTGGTCATGTTCAATTCTCATGGGAATTTGTCTGGTATGTTCTTTCGCACACTGTGTCGAACAAATGGCATTGCGTTTCCCTGAAAAGATATGCTCCGTGGACCTGCCGTAACTATTGAGTTTAATGTCAAAACTGCTGCGGATTGTGAAATTGAAGAAAATAAGCATCAGTTGAAGCAATGGTTTCAAATGGCTTGCTTTATCATTGCGTTGCATTCTTGTGACAACCATTGGCTTGTCAACAAAAGTGATCTGTAGAGAGTGGAGAATATGGCTATCAAGTCTAGATAAAATGTATTTTTGGAGCTATTATAATGCTAGAAAAGTTTCTTGTAGTAACTTCAGTGATTGCTATTGTGATTTATGATGGTTGTTTTTTTCCTTCTGTACAGTTAAATAAAAGAGGTTTTCTGTCTGTGATCCTTTTCCAGCTTGCATGGTTCAGCGAAGTGCCTGGACAAAAGATGTCAGCCGTTTCCTAGATTGGCTCTCAGCAATGTCTTTTAGTGGTGGTGGTTTCAATGATGCTGCTATTGCAGAAGGTCTTTCTGAAGCTTTGATGGTATACTGCGCTACTTGTGTATACCTAATTTGAATGATTTAGTATACTACCTCATTGGATATGTGGGCCCAAGCTGGCTATGTAGCTGATTGATTATCAGTTTGGTTTAAGCATGGGCTCCAAATATTAGCCTGATGTAGAGTGTTCGGAGAGCTTGTGAATGGCCTAGTTTTGCACTGACTGGAATGAAACAACTTTTTAGGCCTCATTGTACCGGCCATTGATTTTTTATAAAGCCTAAGGCAATTTATTTCATGATCTATATTTGGCTGCTAAATGGCAGGCAATTTATTTCATGGTCTATATTTGGCTGCTAAATGGCACAACTGATGCAAGTTGAAGACAGTTTTTTCTCAGTAAGATATGTTCATAGAGTTGGTTCTTTATCTTCTGTTTATCACCTATACCTTCAGTAGTTGGTGCTCTTCTTCTTCTTCTACCCACATTATGTTTTGGAAAAAAGTCTTTGAGAGTTATGGCAGCCATACAATTTGGACAGAATGCCTCATCTCGACTTTATGCCTGTAGATGTACAGATGATCAAAGCTATGGAAAATTGTTGAATCCAAAAAAAATGTTGGATATCAAGTTGATTGATTGGTTAATTCAATAAGAAATGGTAATTAGCACTCGATTTCATTGGTACCATTCAAGCGAATCCAATTCATGTTTTTGTAGCTTTTACTCATTCTGCCTTCTTCTTCTTCTTCTTCTTCTTCTTCTTATCTCTCTCTATCCCTTTTTTAGGGGAGCCATGCGGATGGGGGTAGACATAGTTAGCGAACTTTTGTTCCATTGTTGTCCATGTGACCCTGAAATGTATTAGTTCATCTGTAATTACTGTGCTTCAAATGTTTTAGTTATGTAGGTAATTGTGGTTTACTAGGAGTGACAATTCATATAATCTGCTATACTTGGAGCAATAAGTAAATTAAGTTTGGTTCCAGAGGACTCATGTTGACTCTGATCTTCTTCTTCTTCAGATGTTTCCCATTCCTCCGGACGGAAACCTACCTCCACAAAGTCTAGATGGCAAAAGGCACTGTGTTCTCGTTGCTGCAACCAATCCTTATCCCTTGTCAACTCCAGTTTATCGACCAACTTTTCAGCTGGAAAATGAGCATATGTTGAAACTTACACTGGAGGACCTTTATGTGATGCTGAGGGTGTTGTGAAATTTTTCCCTCAGGTACTTTTCTAGTTTCAGTAGTCGATGGTTGGGTTTGTGTTGTCTTCCGAGCAAAATACACTCCCATATGACTGGCCTTTTACTGTGATGCAGTGCTGTGTTTCTCTCTCAGTTATTTGCCCAAAGCAGCTTCCAAAACTTCGGGCAATCTACAATGCTGTAAGGAAGTTGCTTTACTTCTATTATTTGATGTGCTATAGTTGTTTGTTCTGAGCTCTTTCTTGTTCAACTGGTGCTCTCTCAAGTTCTAGGAAGGACATATTTTGCTGCTAAAATGGGATTTCAGACAAGGACCCTGGATTTTAGTGTGGTCTATAGAATTCGAATTAGGTCACCTTTTACCATGAAATGAACAGTGACTAAGTTACATACACAAAAACATACAACAATGATAATTGTGATGTCTCATAGGTTACAAAATGTATGTTCACTACAATGCATGCATGCATTCTCTATGGAAGTTGAGAAAATTACTGACTTTATAGCTTGTACCACCCATTTGAATTTGTTCATGGTGCTCACGAGTTATTAAAAATTGTAGGGAAAACGCAATCCACGTGCAGCAGATCCTCCGGTTGATAATGTAAAGAATCCCCATTTCCTTGTATTAATTGCGGAGAATTTCCTTGAGGCGCGGGGAGCTTTGAGTCGTCCTGGAACATCTAGTTTGCCCTCGAATCAGAGTCCTGTCAAGATGGACACAGCTCCACCTCCAGTTAATTCGGTCACGGCACAACCTCCTACTTCTGTTCCACCAGGTGTTTTATGGACTACCACTCCTTAATTATTTTTTCCCCTTGTTTTTTTATAATCTCATGCACCTTAATTGCCATCGCAGTATCCTTTTTCGAACTGTTTATCTTTCTTTGGACAATACTTAACTAGATTTGTAGCAGAATGAAAGTTATGGTAATACAATTCACTGCAGTCTGTTCAGTAGATGATAAATCGTGAATAAATATACTATCTTGCATCTACGAGGCCTTATTGCTGGATTAGCCGAAGATTTAGTTATTTTATGCGTTTTTCTTTCTGTAGCTTGTTATTACCATATGTCCCTAGCCACTTGTAGAGCTTGCATGTTTCGGGACAAACTCCTGAATCATGGCATCTGTAGTAGATATACTATTGGTCTATAAAGGAGTCCGATACTCTTAAAAATATGCTTATGTTTCTGGAGGTCGGAAGTTGCTATACATATATCCCTCTCTCCTCCCTCCCTCTCTCTCTCTCTCTCTCTCTCTCTCTCTCTCTCTCTCTCTCTCTCTCTCTCTCTCAGATTATAGGATTGTTCAGTAATTAGACTGTAATTCTGGTGATACTTGTCCCTGCCCAGAATGTAGTTATGAGGAAGGAGCCGCTGTCAGTGAGTGAGTCCGAAACTCTCTAGATTTTCAGTTGATGAAAGGAGCTCAATGTCACCAGGGGCAATGTCTTTGGTGTATCTTAATGTTAGGAATGCAGTCTACTCTCTGTATGAGCTTGTATTTTGAGTTATAAGTGCAGGACAATTAGGTCACAATGGTAATTTGATTTTTCCTTACAATTTGTTTGCTGTAAATGGACTCTTACTGAACAGACAAGCAGTTTCTGCAGGAAATGGCCCTCCTGCCATTGTCAAAGTTGTGAGTCTTCCCATCTCTTTTCAGTTAAATGTTAGGGGCTAATGCCTCTGCAAAATGAAGGTTACTTTTTGTCTTTTGCTGCATGGACTTAGATGTTGCTTTTCCAGGAACCAACCACAGTGCCTTCTATGGTAGCTGGCCCCACCTTTTCTCACATTTCATCAGTTCCGCGTCCTACGACTCAAGGAGTCTCTGCCTTGCAGACTTCCTCACCTTCTTCTGTATCTCAAGACATGGTAACAAACAATAAAGGCGTACCGGATTTGAAGCCAGTGGTGAGTGGCGGCATTTCACAACGACCTGGAGGTCCTGTAAATTCAAGCATACTAAACAACATCTCTCAAGCGCGACAAGTGGTCAATTCTGCAGCATTGACTGGAGGGACTTCAATAAGGCTTCAATCTATGGGTCAAAATCCAATGGCCATGCATATGTCAAATATGATTTCTACTGGGATGCAGTCTACTGTGCCTGCAGCTCAAACAGGGTATTCTTCAGCCCAATCGGGCATCACCTCAGTGACAGGTCCTGGCACTCTCTCGGGGACCATACCAACTGCACAAAACCCATGCCTTGGTTCATTTGCTCCAGCAACTAGCAACATTACTGGAAATTCAAACATTGGAATATCCCAACCAACTGGCAATCTTCAAGTTGGTCCTGGTATGGGTCAAACTTCTCCGGGCATGACCCAAGGAAGCCTATCAGGATCACAAATGGTGCAGAATGGAGTTGGCATGAATCCTAATATGATGAGTGCCCTGGGTCCAACAGCTCCCTCTTCCGGAACTGGCACAATGATACCTACTCCAGGAATGCCTTCACAAGGACAATCTGGCATGCAATCTATTAATGGTAACAACAATCCAGGAGCAAGTATGCCATTGTCACAGCCATCATCAAGTGCTTTGCAAAGTGCACAGTCTAAATATGTGAAAGTTTGGGAGGTATGAACTCAAGCATATGTTCTTTCTAGGAAATTATATATTGACAACGGGATTACAAACCTTTTGCAGTTTGCATTCTTCATTGATTGTTGCTGGATGATCTCAGGTTCTTGATTAATTTTTGTTTGGTTCACAACAAGTTTATGAATTTCATGTGGTCAACTTCCATCGCATGCTGCTGAGATTTCTCTTTATCATCATTTCATTTCTTTATCAGTATTTTTATTATTATCTTTGTCAGTACATTTAATTTGTGTGATGGCTATCCCTGATATGGAGTATGACATGTTAGCGATCTCACTAAGATCATTTATCTGCAATATGTCATTCCTTCTTTGTAATTCTTAACTTTTGTCTTCTATCTGCTTACAACACGATAAGGCATTGGGTCTTTGTTTTACACTGGTCCTCTTTCTTGGCTGTTCTATTTTTGTTCGCAGTTCCACTTTAGTGTTCTGCTGTTCGATGTGTTTGGAGCTTATGGTTCACTGTTCCTCTCCAGATATGATCCAAAAGCCTTTTTCCTAAAACTAGTCCTCTAGAAAAGAAACTGACTGTGATTCGGTTAGGATCCTAACCTTTCCTTTTGTTTGCCATGATTCTGAACTGCAAGTCAACAATGGCTCTTCTTTGGTAGTTTCAAATGATGGTCTTTTTTCACATAGCGTGCACTTTAACATAGAGCGGGAAGAATCATTCAAAGTCTGGTCTGCATTTGTTGTCTAAATATATAGGTATGATGATTGGCTCCTCTATCTGGGGGAATCATCTGTTAATGGTTTCTTTTAAGATTGAGTGAATAGAAGCTCTATGGGGGCTCTCTTCATAAGTGCGATGGATATCACTCTCTCCAGAGGATGAGCTTTGAGCATAATACTTGCTGCTGACTAGCTCAAAATTGGTGGCCAAATCTAGCCAAGCAAATCATCTGGCCTCTTTAGCCTAGATTAGTGTTCTCTCAGAGGTTCTTACCCAAACTCTTTTTCAAATCTTGTCTCCCAAGATGGTTGGGTTGCGGGCATTTGGGTGCATGAAAAGGTCTAATTAAGTGGAGTGAAATTTACAGAACTTTCCGAGCCTTTTTTCTTATAACCGTGGCACGTTATCAAAAGTAAACTCGATAGCCCAATTGATAATGTGCCAAAAATATGATCTTTGCAAGGAAACCAATACTCTGTCGCCAGTGCGTACGAATAGAGAATGTCCTCATCAGTTGTTTATTTATTTTTTATTATTTACCTGGTTGTCCAAAATAATTTCTCTAGCCCTGCAAAATGCTGACTGTTATAAAGTCAAAGATCACTGACTGAGATTTATCTTCATTGAAATTATGTGAGCAGGGAAATTTATCTGGGCAAAGACAAGGACAGCCTGTCTTAATCACCAAATTGGAGGTATGTATTCAATCTCTGATGAGTTTGTGTAAAATGAGCACCCACGTTATGGTTTTTCCTGCCCGTTACTTGTTACTAAGTTTATTTATTTATTTATTTTTTGCAATCCTTAATGCTGTACTTGTTTTGTGGCAGGGTTATAGGAGTGCATCAGCTTCTGAGTCGTAAGTCTCAAACTATTTTTCCTTTAGAGTGGAAATATAGAAAGAATTCGTTTTAATATGGCATTTTGTTTTTGAACAGCTAAAATTTTCTATATTTATTAGAAATTAGAAATAGAAATTGTCTAATACTGCTCCATTTGGTGATTCCGGCATTTCTGTTCCTTTTTCCACAAACATATCTGCTATAATTATGCTTCATTGAGTCTATGAGTTTACTTATGACAACAACAGAGAATGGATAGATGATTCTTTTTTAATTGTATTAATTAAATCACTGTCTCCCTGCAATACGCAGATGTCTAATTTTAACTTTCTTAGTTGGTCCAATCAATTACATAAAGGGTCTATTGAGAATTAGACATGGATGGCGTTCTTCCGAGGTCATTAAGATAAACCCCTTGTAAGGAAATACTCTTTTGCTCTTTCTTTGTTAGAAAGAGTAGGCATATTTTTTCCATTATTCGGAGGGGAGAAGTATCTTAAATTATGCATAAAACTTATCTAAAGGTTGATTTTGTGGGAGCTAAAGATTGAAGAAAATGTGTTGAAAACTGGAATTCCCTGAGGCTCCCTTGTCTGCCTTAAGCTGATGTTATGAACTCATTGAGATGTAGGGTAGAATACTTAAAAGGAATCTTTCACCAAATTAACTTCATGATAAATCAAGACAAGATCACAGAGAGAAGGTTAGAAAAGAAGATAGATTACTGGAGGTTAGAAAAGTAGATTAAATTATGTACCTCCAGAAGCCTTACTCCTGCCATTTGGTGCCCTGTGCATTGCTAGTAAATGATCACTTCAAATCGAACGCTGATAAAAATAAATCCAACACTAATAAGAATGGTTAGAGTAGCATAAGCCAGGGAGAGATAGAATGGCAATTCCATGTTCCTTGTGCTATATAATAAGTGTAGATTATGTACATTTCTTCTGCCCTCTGGAGTTCTCCACTAAAAAAATGTGGATATGCTATTATGGTTTTTTTTTTTCCTTTTTTATATGTTGACATGCGTATTAGGGGCAGTGGTGGAGGATGACATGCATATTAGGGGCAGTGGTGGATAATGACATGCGTATTAGGGGCAGTGCAGTTATGGCTAAAAATTGTGGATGCACTAGCAATAGGGACTTGTGGTTTTGGGGAAGATCACTAAGGCTATGTTTGTGGAACTGGGGAAAGTGGGGAGGATAAAATTTGAGTGGAAAGTTTTGAAAATTTAAAATTTTTGTGAGTAGGAAAATGAGGGACAAATTCTATAGTTATAGGCGGTTTTCATCACATTATCCTTTCCCTTTGGTCTCCCAAACATAGCATAATTTTTGTGGAAACCTTATTTTGCATTCTCATTATATACCTGATGCCCTTCATCAAGTTTTCCAGTCTCACTATCTTCTCATTTAATCATTCATGTCTGAATTACTGATTGGAGCAATGCCAAAAGATTTGCTGTGGCATTTGTTTCTCCAGATGGCTGTTTATCTGACAGTACTTATAAAATCCTCTTATATGGTGTCAAATCAGTTATTGAAATGCCGATCGTGATCTTATTGTCACTTTGAGAAAGCTTGTATCCAATATCTTGTTTCTTGAAAACGCAAGTATTGTGAAATTGCTTTTGTTTTTCATCTGCCTTTCCAGTTTTTAGTCATTTAGATAAGATCTGGATACGTATTCATTCTTGTCAGCTGCATCTTGAATCTCACTAATTTTGTCTCAAGATTAATCTTTCACTGCATGAGCATTCTTTTGCTTCTTTCAGGCTTGCAGATAACTGGCCTCCAACCATGCAGATAGTTCGTCTAATATCTCAGGACCACATGAATAACAAGTAATTCCACTTATGGAAATCCAACCTTGTCCTCTGGAATTTTCATTGCCATTGTTTATACTGGATCGAGCAGGTTACTGCTGCACTTTGCTGACTTAGAACTTTGTGCAGGCAATACGTTGGGAAGGCGGATTTCCTGGTTTTTCGGGCAATGAATCAACATGGTTTTCTTGGGCAGCTCCAAGAGAAAAAACTCGTAAGTCGACCGATTCCCTATGTCCTTCTATTATTTTTAATCTATCCACTATGTCAGTATTATAGTGCAAGTGTTATTTTTTCTACCGTATCACACATTGGTCTTGGATGGAAAGCAGATCCAGAAGTATATTTATATAGGTTATAAGTCCTGTATGATGATCTTCTGCTGCAACTTTAATATGCTTATATCCATGGAGCATTGCTATGCTAGGGAGCGATGCATAAGGTAGTTTTGCTTGTCCTGCTCCATATTTGGAGTATATGGTGATAATTGGAGTATGTAATGCTCCAATTTGTTACATGTTTACTTCTATGCCCAACCCCAACCCCAACCCCAACCCCAACCCCAACCCCAACCCCATTCCCGCTTCACCTGGTGCTAATAAAGAAAATGATAAAGGAGGTCAAGCTAGATAAGGAGAGTTAAAAAGCGGAAAACTGCAAAGGATTTTGGGCACAAATTAGCTGCAGACATGGCTGCTGCCCATTTTCTCATTAGTGGAATGAACTTCCCTAAACCTGCATACATGTGATTTAAAATTACGAAGACTAAGAAACCCTACTCTCATCCTTCTTGCTCCCCTACCTCTCCCTTTCACCCGTGCAGGAGCAGAGCCACCGCAGTGTCTCTTTTTCTCCGCAGGCAGCTTGACACGGCCACTATGGCAAGCGACACAACCACCACCACGATCGCTCTCAGCCGTGCCCCCCTTCCCCCCTCCCTCCAGGCTTCCCTCTCTGTCTCTCTTGGTCGCCATGCCCACGGTTGCCTCTTTGAGTCCTATAATCGAGTGATTTGAGGTCCATAACCTCAGATAGAGCCCGACCTGAGGTCGTGGACCTCCAGAGACCGTAGATATGTGCGACATTGATGGTGTGTGAATGAGTTGTGGTGATTTGAGGCCACAATGATGGCTGCATGCTGGGGGCATCATGTTGGCAATGAATCTGTACCGGTCATGTTTGTTAGTGACACGACTGTTAGATAGAGAGAGGTCGTCGAGGAAGGCAGCTAGTGGGAGTGACCGTGAGCAACGTTGGCCACGAGCAGGGGTATCTGAGACCGAGGTGTAGGTGAGGAGGTGCCAGGCCTTGCTCAGATTAAGTGATTAGCTGTGAGAGGAGAGATGGGAAGAGAGTTGACTGGGTCCAGGCTATTTTCATGTGGAATTGTATGCCCAAATACACAATGGGACGAACCAATATGCGAGTGCCAGCTACCGGTCAGCAGCCCGGACTGCGGATCATTTGAGCTTGAAATGAAATAGTAATCTAGGAGAATTCATTTTATTCTTTTGATGTAATAGTTTTGATAGATCTTTGTTGCAAAGTGGATAGATACAAATATTAAAGTGGTATAATTACATGAACATGCACAGTGTCAGAGCCCTCACTGTTGGCAAATACGTATGATCTTATGGTGCTCCTATGAAATTAGGTTATTTTGGGCCATTACTTATAGATATGTAAATCTAAAGCAACATGTTAAAGAGGCGGTTCTTCTAAGAAACAAGTAAAAATGGGTCAGGCTTCCCAGTTCCAACAGTGTGCATGTGCGAAAGAATTGCTTTGACTACTGCTTGGTTGTGTAAGGCAGCATTACTAACAGGCTCTCCAATGTTGACCTGATCCAGTCTTCTGACTTTGAGCTTGTGGCTCTCTCTCTCTCTGTGTAGTGTGCAGTCATTCAATTACCGTCTCAGACACTGCTGCTCTCTGTGTCAGACAAGGCATGCCGCTTGATTGGAATGCTTTTCCCTGGGGTGAGTCATGTCTGAACTTGAATCCATCTACTGTCGACAGGCTCAAATCAATGGGACCAGACAAAATGTTTTTGTTCTACACTAGTTTTCTTGCCTGCGCAATGCAAGGACAATTAAGAAATGGCTTTTAAATGAAATTCATCTGTGTAAAATTTATAGGAAGAAAAAAGGTAATAGTTCCTTATATAGTTTACATTTTCTCTGCCATCCTATATTTTCATATTTCTGCACTTGTTCTACTATATGGTTAATAAAAGACAAAATTATAGGTATCACTCTTTTTCTAATGCCAAATGTTCATTCTCAAGAGTTATGTCAAAATACTATAACAAGAAAACATTACAATAAGTAAGAATATGCTTATCATTAGACTTTTCCTTATCAATAAGAGTATTATTTGCAACAGGAGAGAATGAAAGTTACATATCTGTCACAAACAACAATTTACTTCCAGTTATTGTAGAATGCTATTTGACTTTACTTTGCAAAGAGCAAAAGCAAAGAGTCAAAGAAAACAGTTGGCTTAGAATAGTGCCATCAGTAGAGTCATGTTTGTAATGTGTGTGTGTGCACTTGCGTGCATGTAGATGTATACATATAAAATCATATTATTGACTTCTACAACAGAGAAGGATAAAACTGTTGTATAAACATAGACTTAATTTTTTGACCCAAAAAAAAAAAAATAGAGTTAATTTCTGTAGACAAATTTGTCAAACTAATATATATCGGACATGTCATTATCATAAATACAGTCTCTGCCCTACCCATGTATTTGAAAGAAGAGGAAGAAAACAAAGAAAATGAGTCAATGCGCTGAACTGCTTAAAAGATTAACTTGTAAATATTCTTCGAAGGAAAGCCTTATGACAACTTACCACAAAATACAGGGGTTAGATGTGGGACAAATTCACAGATTTTATTTATTTGTTGAATCATACAGTGGCTGGAGAAGGGGGAGGATTGGACCTACAAAGATGTATAAAAATCATAAGAAAACAGAAAGAGGTTGTACGTCTAGGCATTAAGACTTGAAAAAGTCTTCAAGAATTGGTTAGGAAGAGATAGAGATCTATTATCCCAACATTTAAGGTAGGTATAATCATTTCTTGTGCAATGAAAATATACCACGACTAAAAGCAACATACATACTTCTTAGAACTAAATGATTTCTTCTTCAAACACTCCGATAAACAGGTCCTGCATAATCTATATCAGTGAAATTGTGCCAGCACCAAAAGTCTTTGGTAGCATAGCCTATATGAAGGCTCTTATAATTAACTAATGATAATCTATGCTATACTAATATATCAAAGAAACTGGGATACCTACTTTTAAGCAATTGTTCTCTTTTTGTTTTTTGCAAAGATCTGTAACTATATATTTAGTATGATATATTAGATTTGTGGCCAAATAAACAAAAAAAAAACAAAACAAAACTACCTACCCATTTTTAAAGAATGTTTCAAAATTCAAGGAGGGGATTCTTCTTTTAAGCAACTACTACTCCTTTTTCCCCCCTAAAAAATATTCCGAAGTGTCGAATCATAGATTCCGAATGTGTTCAGGATATGGTTGTGTTCAAGCCGCAAATACCGAGCCAACAACAGCAGCAGCAGATGCAGCAACAACAGCAGCAGATGCAGCAGCAGTTGCAGGCTCCACCACATCCGCAGATGCAGCAGCAACAGCTTACCCAGATGCAGCAGCAGCAGATGCCTCAACAGCTGCAGCCCCAGCACCAACAGATGCAGATGCTGCCCCAACAACAGCAGCAGATGCAGCAGCTCCAGCCGCAGATGCCACAACTGCAGCAGCAGCAGCAGCAGCCACAGCAACACCTCCAACAGCTGCAGCCGCAACACCCACAGCAGCAGCAACTTCAGCAGCTGCAACAACATGCACCGCAGCAGTTGATGGGGACCGGAATGGGGCAAGGCTATGTCCAAGGTCCAGGGCGTTCACAGTTGATGTCACAGGGACCTGTTTCATCGCAAGGGCTGCCGAACATTCCCGGTGGGGGATTCATGAGCTAATCTGAGATTCTGAAGTTCCCCGCTCAAACCACATTATGCTCTTCAATTCACCTCCTGTTTGAGACAAGTCTACATTTTTCATTTTTGCTGGATATTAGAATCGGGGACTCGCCTTGGAATTTCTACACATGCCACCTGTTATGATTGGCTGGGTAAATACGACCTTGTATGGTGATAGCATTATGCGGTATCTTGTACAGATTTTAGTTACCAAAATGATCATTCTCAATGTCCTTCCGTTCCTCTATTTATGTTTCCGAATGAACTTATTTAGGTTCTTTATGAGCTCATCTGCTTTGACTACCTTTGGTGGGCTTGAGATCCCTTTTGCATGCACAAGAGTCTCTTTTTAGCTGCGACTTTCCAGGGTCTACAAATAGAGCTCTCAATTCAATTACCACCATGTGAAGATATGTGGCAAATAGTGCTCTCAATTTGACTTCTCCTATGCGCGGCTTTCTCTGCCAAGATCAAGTAAGTACTTGCATGTTGTGACTAAGTCTGAGTTGCGAAAATATGGCCTAAGAGGCAAAGTTATCGCATGAGTCTACTGCTTTTATAATGCATTTTGCTCTGTACATTGGAAGACATCACGAGGGGCACTGGTTTGGTCCACTATACTTCTATCCGATCATTTCATCGCCGCCACCGCTGCCTCCAGTGCCGCCTCATCCTATTCCTTCCGGTTTTCCCAAGCCGAACCTATTAACCTCGAAGATGAACCTAGTTCTTAGTTTAGTTATCCTATGGCAACTTTCGTAGAAAGTTCTTGGAAATAATGATTTGCGTTCTGATTGTTATGTAGTTCTGAATTTCCAAGTGGAATGAAAATTATGTTAAGTTCCCTTACATGCCTGTCCTAAATGTGATACATCAAATTGTGCGTCAGATCATCCTTAAACGATTATAGACAGCTTCATTTGGAAATTGCTCGAATTACTCTAATATGACTACACATTTTCTAGATTCACTATAATTAACAGCGCCAATTTCAATCTCCTTTCATTATTGGGCTTCCTATGAATTGGGTTTTTACCAAAAAATGAAAAGGGTAATCGTCACTCATCCAACATGAAATATAAAAATCAATTTTACACCAACAATTGATCTAATAAAAATTTTAAAAGTAAAAGAAACGATATTTTGAATATGAGAAGGGGAGCTTTGTATGTGCAAGAAAGGTTCGGCAGAACAACAACAGCCTATTCCTTGTATTCATTTACAGATTTGGGATAATGATACCAACAGTCCTGAAGTTTGGCTTAATGTGTAATATGATGATTTATGAACTTTTAATTTGTTAAATGTAGTCCCTGTACTTTTAATTTGTTCAATATGGTCCCTGCACTTTTAATTTGTTCTATACATGTTTAATGTAATCCTTGAACTTAAATTAATGGAATGATTATATTGAACATTTTCATATATTTTAAGGACTAAACTGAACAGGTATCAAAAATTTAGGGACGACATTGCACATTGAGCCAAAGTTCATGGACTGTTTGTGTCATTTTCCCTACAGATTTTTACACGATTTCGATCGAACACCCAACGACATCCGACCCAGCAAACTTTGGTCGAACCAGGGACAAAATGCTGAAAAGGGCAAAGACGCAAACAATGGCGGTCGCACAAGACACTTCCATCAGCAAAAATAAAGCTACTGATCTGACGAAACAGTGGCTTCCCTTTGAGAGAACATCACCCCAGGCTTCTTCCCCTCCTGCTGAAATTTCTCATGTGGGTCGCCGAGGCGAGGCCTTTTCGCTGTAACCCATGGACTAACCTCGACACCCGAGCAGTTTCGGCCCCCCAAGAAAGAACCCATCCATCAAAGCGTTCGAAAGATCGCCCCATCGACCTCAGGACCCGAAAAGGGAAGAAGCTCCGACATTCTGCCCAGAACGGGAATCCCAATCCACTACTCCCAAAAGCGAGACACGCGTTAGTAGCATCACATTTTGCCGTCTCTTCGCATCTTCTCGTGCGATGAATGTTCGCTGCTTGCGGAAGGAAGTGAAGTAGATCCGGGATTCTCCGTTTTGAGCAAAATGACTGAGGCTTGAGATCGACGGGGTGCTCTCGACCGCTTCGATGGATGGGATGTTCGTTGAGGGCGAAACGGCTCGTGTATAAGGGCTTTAATTTGCAGTGAGGAGTCTCGTCGACGTCCTCACGAGACTATATATAGAGGCAGCCACTTCAAGGGCTTTCGAGGTGCCAAGTTAAACATATCTCTCAACTTTCACCAAATATAAAATGTCATCCTTAAATATTTAATTTATTTAATGTAGTCCTTAAATTGAAGCTCAATATTGTCCCTGAATTTTTTAATTTTTTAAATATAGTCCTTGAACTTTTTATACACGTTGAATTTAATCCCTAACATATATAAAAATATTCAATATTGTTCTTAAATTTGAATTAATAAAATGATACCATTGAATAGTTTCATATAGTTCGAGGGTTACATTGAACATATATCAAAAGACCATATACCACATTAAACAAATTTAAAGTTCAAGGATCGCATTGACATTGAGCTAAAATTCAGGAACTGATTTTGAATAAATTAAAAGTTTTATAGACCATATTGCACATTGGGTCAAAGTTTAAGAACAATCTGTATTATTATTCCTTCCTTTTTCCCCAAAACTAGTGATGCCTAAGCCTAATCTGTCTATTTAAAAATCTTATTACAACAAATCTAATAAAAAAACCATTTCAAAATTTCATGGTACTTTCCCTTTCTATTAGAAAAATAGCCAATAATAAAATTACTCATACTGTTTTAATTAATTAGAATTGGTGAATTTTCCCCTCTCATTCAAGGACAAAGCCTTAATTAAGATGTTAATTTCTTAATTTTATCCCATAACAACCACCCTAAGAAATGTTCAAAATCTATTCTGTCATCTGACCGCACATTAACCACTGGGGGTTTACCCCAGTGGCCACCCTTCTCACTTGCGAAGGGGGAGGTGGGGAGTTCGAATCCCCACCTTCGCAAGGGGGTAGGGGTGGGGCCGCGTAGTTTAAGATGTGGGTTTCAACGCCTACGCCCTGCAAGAGGTGGGGCGCAAGTCTGAGTGTGTATCGTGAGTGAGAGATAGAGTAGGACCGACCAAAAAAAAAAAAATCTAACCGCACATTCTATAGATGGACGAAACTGTAATTGACAATAAGTCATTCAAATAATCAAAATGATTGACAACTAGTCAAATAATCTCTACTCAATAAATTCGAATCCAAATTAATTGTCAAGTATTCCATAAATTTTCTATATTTACTTTTACAAGTAAAATTATATTTAAAAAGCAGATCAAATCTCTACATTTTTCTTTTATTATATTTCTAATTTATCTTCTTCACTATCTCTTTACACTTCATAAGATTTCCATATCTGTTTTTGAGATGTATCGAATGAGATGGTATCACAAAATTGACAAAAAAAAAAACATGCTTTAAAATGGTCAATATGATTTTCCACTAGTTCGACAAATTTTTTACTTTCCAAAATCATATAACTCTCTCATTTTATAATTATTTAAATTTCTTTCTTGAACAAAATTGGTTGTTTTAAGTGTAACATCACTTAATGAGATAAGTAACGAAGGTTTTTTTTTTTTTAAATTTGAGAAAGTGGGTTTACTTAGTTGAATACGTGATAATAATATTCAATAGAAATCAAAATCTTACCGATTATATTGCTAAAACCTTCGAATAATACTCACTATTCAAGATTGGATAGCAAGTAATAAAGCTTATCATTTTATTTTCATTTATACTCAAACAAAGTTTTATTTTCATTTTGGGTACTCAAAATTTTCAGCACTTAACATTAAATACTTAAATGTTCAACAATTATTTTTTAGTATTATTGGACGAACCCTAAGGCAATGAGAAGTAGAATAAAGATTTCTTTCTGGTCTCATTCCTTCTCACCAAACATATTGTTAAATTATTCAACGTGCAACTGACCCTTTTTGAGAAGAATGTTATATAAATATATGGACAAAATTCGACACAATAGTAATGACCCTTTAATAAAGTCTAAAGTCATAGAATAAATACATCATACTTATGTTGTCTAAAGTGGCTCGTATATTGAGGTTAGGCCATGAATTGCAATTATAGAGGCAGTCACTTCTAGGGCTTTTTGCCTACAGGAGGAGCCTAAGTTTCTTTTTCCCCAAAACCAGTGGTGCCTAAGCCTAATCTGTAATTTTTAAACTTTCAATCTTATATAATTGCTAAAATGATTGTGGCAAGTGAATCGTTGTATTTCAAAGTTGAATAATTATTAGATCAATCGTCAGTATAAAACAATATATACATTCACCGTTGGATGAGTAAAATGTACATTTGAAGTTGGTTTTGTAATTGAATTCTTTTACATTATAACTATTCAATAGGTATGTAACTTATTTTGTATGTGGATAGTGAAAATGGACGAATGTTAAACATTAAAAATAGTTGCTCATACTATCCTAATTCTTTGTGAGTTGGTAAATTTTCCTCTCTCATTTAAGGACAAGAGCATTAATTAAGAAGTTAATTTCTTAGATTCTATGCTATTCAGCCACCCTACCAAACATTCAAAATCTATACAACCCCCCTCAAGCTATTAGGGTGGTTGTATTACTTATCAATGGGATAGATTCATTGATTACCATCTCATTTGACCACAATCAAGATGATTGATAAGTGATCTACGAATTTCTTATCTAATATGAATTTAAAACAAGTGTCCAGATTCCATAAATCTCTTATCATTACTTTTGCAGCAAGTAAAATTATATTAAAAAAAAGTGAATCAAAATCTCTACATATTCTTTTAGGGTTAATAACACTAGAAACTCCATACTAGTACACATGTACCCCAATTACTTCAAACTAAGTTTTATGTCATAAAAAATTTCAAACTGGTACATCCGTGCCATATGTATCCCAAACTAGTATACGTGCGCCACGTTTATCAGGGAAATTTCGGGGGTAACTATGGCATGGGTTCACCAATCTGGGGTTTGGAAAGCAGGTAAACTAAGATTGACCTGCTAACCCGGTGAAATAAGCCAGATCAAACCCCAGACTAACAACCGAAATTAGCACAGGTTTTTGTTTGTTTAAACACTTGGCGGTGGAGTTTAAGCATCTTTTTTTATTTTTTTTTATTTCAATGCTTCAAGTTAGAGGTACAGGTGCTGCAGATAAGACCCTTTAGAAAGGAATGGGAAAACCTTTCTCGATACTTACCTTTCTAAGTTTTGGAAGGTGTCTTAAAAAACAAGGACATTATACTCCCTTTCTTGCAATCATAAGCTTTCTAACTACTTTATTCAAAGTACAAGAAGCAAGGAAAGTGCAACCTGCGGCTGTGTCTGTGAGATTTCCCCCTTTTGCCGATATCCTTGAGAGAATAAAGAGGAAAAACATAAAACCAAGCTCTTCTGTTATAAAATGTTCCGAACTCCCCCAACTTAAAAAACAACAAACAACAAAGGAACGGTGAGAGCTTCGCAGAAGTACTTAATAGTTCTTCCCAACGATGAAATGGGTGGAAAAGCTTAGACCTCTGGTGGGATGGGATTACTTGATCATGTGGAAGCGTTTCGATACCTCCTCCATGCACGCACACTCATCGTGTTTTGCGTTAAACTTGCCAAAATGAGTCTTAAACCCATTTACTAACTCAAATGCAAAATCTTAAAGTTCTAGATAAATTCAAAAAGTAGTTTTTTTTTTTGGCTACCCTTTCATTGCCCATTTTTTTATATTATTTTTGTAAGATCTTTGAAAATGTTGGGTGTTGCTGCGGGATGGAGATTGGATGGGCAAGAAGAACAGCTCGACCATTTAACTACTGTGCCTTACAGAGACCTGGTAATCAGCACCCGATGAGGACGAGAGCTTGCAAAGCCCTGACCTTTTACCCTACTCTTCTCACTTCTTGGTAAATGTCGCTTTGCATTTTTAGGAACGAAGAATGGAATCAATAATGTTTGATTGAGTTTCTTCAGTCACTGAACATTAGAAAAATTTATGGTGTCTTTGGTCAGGAATTATGTAGATGTGATGAATTCGACCCGGTCCAAGTGGATTCACAACACAAGCGCCGCGGACATTCACGTGATCCGTTCTTAATCTCCTCCTTGTGATCATTGCATATTTCCGCATTGCTCCCTCTTGAATTGCTCGGACAAAATTGCTGAAGATCGGGCTATTATTATTGTCTTATGAACTCTAGTCCTTTGGTTGATACTCTGGTGCCTTGCTGTCATTTAGTACCTACTGTCAGGACACGGGAATGTTTGATTTAGCTTCACATGTGAATCTCAAGTCAAGTAACAATGCTGTATTGCCAACTCTGGAGCTCGTAGTCCTCAGTATTGTGTGCTCTGTAACTTGATAAACGTTCAATCAACAGAACAATGCATTAGATTGCTTGAAACGTGTGTATTCTTGTTGCCTCATACTATTTATCTATTCAATTATGTGATTGTGCGTTTGAACTTTCATGCCGGTGTTTACTCGCATCACGTGGTTTACCCTTTCTTTGTGTGATTATATCTGAAAATTAAGAGTAGAAGAAACTTTTGACAGGACTGCACTGGAACAATCGTTCTGGTCCCTGTTGGTAGCGGCATTGTTGAGCTCTTCAGCGCAAAGCCTGTAAGATGCACTTCCAAAGTAGCATTGGCTCTTGCATGTTATTCTACTTGTTTGCTCAAAAGTTGCAAATGTGACCATTTACTTTCAAATTCGTCAGACGCCAGAAGAACCCCACATAATAGAAATGATCATTCATTGGGGTCACTTCTTCAAAGAAGCCATGAATCTCAGGCCCTGGGATATAAAGACCAACGAATTCCTGATCCAAGAGTACTTGATTTCCTGTCTTTTGCCGCCCCACCTTTCGAGTTTGGACTCTGGACTACAACAACTTCCGATAGGAACATGAAGTAGCAAAAATCCTGAAGGATCATTGGGATATCTTTCCCAAGCTCGAGTGATGAAGCAGTCTGTTATCGGATCCACGAGGTCCGAAGATTCCAAAAGTTTGTCGGAACAGCCAAATTTCTCGGTTTGTGCTGCGGCTGCGAAGGGTAAAGCCATTCGCAAACAGGAAGGAGGTGAATGTCGCTCAAAGAGACTGATCGCAGAGCAGGAGAGTAGGACCATGTATAGGGACCAGATCCATGCTCTCCGTTCACTTGTCCCAAAGATATCCAAGGTCCACTGAACTTTCGTTGCTTTACTCTGGAAAGTAATCCATTTGTTTGGCATTCAAAGCTGTTTTCTTTGATGCAGTCTTTCACTGCGTGTTGCAGTATTGAGGAATTCCTCTGGTCAACATCAATTTCTATTTCACACAAGCACAATTTTTTATTCAGGAAAGCATGCACTTGAAGATTGTCATCTTTTAAGAATTACATGCAGTAACAAATTCTTTCATAGTCATGTTGCTTGTTATTTTACTTGAAGAATATGAATATCCATCCTTCCCTGTATTGACTAGATGGACGAGAATTCAATCCTGGGGGACGCTGTTGATTACATTAAGGATTTACAAATGAAGGTGAGAAACCTCAAGGAGGAACATGGCAAAAGCTTGGCCAGACTACGCGATAACGCAGAGTCTTCCTGTCTTGACCCAAAGACGGACACGGAGGTGAACAAAGTCAAGCTTGTAGCTCAACTGTTATCTCATTGTTCCTCATAAAATGTGGACTGAGCGTGTCAGTTTCGTATTGGACCTTGACTTTGTGGAAGTAACGATTTCAGGCGCATGTGGAGGTGATTGGGAAACGAGATTTTCTGGTCAAGATATTATCGTTGAACAAGCAAGGATGATGGCTTTCTAGGATGATGGAGGGGATGAAATCACTGGGAATTACTGTAGTTGATGCCCATGCCACCACGTTAAATGGCAAAGTCCTGGCCAGTCTTGTGCTTGAGGTAAGTCTGTGAGGATGTTGTGGCGAATGAGAGCAATTACAGAATTTCCTTCTTAGATAAGCTTCCACAATCATTGGTCCATCCTACTTTAAATTGATCTTCATGCTCCAATTCAAGTATGTGCAGAACAGAAGGCATACTTTTAATGAAGTGTGCATAAAATGAAAATTATCTGAATATTTGTTTGCCAGATCTGTTCTCTGTGCATTTCTTTTCCTCCATGACTCGATAGTTTCATGATTCCAGTTTCTGGTTTGTTCTAAGACTGTTCTTGTTCTTCCAGCTAAAAGTTGATATCCTTCCAGTGAATCTGAGAAACTCGGTGATGATACAGCTAGCGAGCTTAATTAGTCAGTAAGAACAACCGAGGTTATCATTGAGTGCGAAGTTTGTGCAGAAGTTTCCTTGTACCCTAAGAGAAAGTATGTGAGGAAGGAAGTGAGGCTTCCCTTCTGATCCATTGTTATCAACATATAATATCTAAACATTTCAGATGTATCCGTCTGTTTCATCAGTATGAAACCATTAGGAAACTGATTATTATCTTCTCTTTAATTGTTGAATCAATTTGTATGTTATGTTGTGATCGCCATTTGTGATTGGTGATACCGAGCATGTGAAGATAGTGATCCAATTTTACGTATAAGCTAATTCGAGGAGCACCACACTTTTCCCACCAAGCAAAGAATTCAGAGCAAATCGCAACTCAGAGGTTTGGAAGTGGAAGGCTGCGGGAGCGTCAAAGGACCACCAAGAGTTGTGACCTTTTACCCGTTCTAGGCATGTGCATCGGTCCTGGTCCAATCCGGGAATTGGACCGAACCGGATCGCACCTAGCAAGTTTCACTCTTCCACCATTGCCTGCCCCGGATGTTCCAGGATATTCTGAACATCGACTTTAACACCGTCAATACCAGCGCAAGATAGGAGTGGAGTTCGTTGTAAAAGCTGAAAACTTTCTCAGGATTGACAAGGCCAAGGCCAATAGTAGTGATGCTATTGAGAGCATAACAAGGCTCATTTGATTGAACTCCTGGAGATGAGACAGGGTACGCCATCTTGGACTCATAATGTTCATTCCATCAACACCAGGCCTGGCTCCACCCCTGTAACCTGTGACCGCAAGCCGCACATATGCATCCCTAAAATTTTAGGGACAAGTTTCTGGCATTAGAATTTGGAGCAACTACTTAATTGAGCTGAGTTTGAGGCAGAATCTATATATAACACATGCATAATTCCAGGCATGTTTTTCTTTGATTTCAGTAACGAAGTGACAAAGGCCCAATGCCGGATCATCGACTCTGCTACCCTCTTGGCCATTTTTCTGGAACTTATGTTTCTTCTTGATATGGTTAATCGGTTTACAAAGCTGATACAACAAAGACACTGAGTGTCAACCAAATGCATTGCAGCCAAAACTGCAGAAAGTGAAAATTATTCTGCCACTTCCTTAGCAGTGTTGTCTTTGCTGGCGGGATCCATGCCAACAGATTGCCATCCATCATCAATTATGACAAACCTGGGAGGTACTCCATCTTTCTTGAAGCTGCAAGTTGATGTCAATAACTTTCAACTCATGAGAACCTGTACTCTGAATTCAATGCCACTAGAGATATCAAGGAAAATTAACAAGGGTCGTTTACTAAGTAGAGTGGTATGCTAAAATCGTATTGGGTAATCAAACTGGCCAACCACCTTGTACCTGAGTCCCACTAATTTATGACCATTGAAAGTTTGTCACTATTTTAGTAAACCGATTTCAATAATATTTCGTGTCATTAGCGCCTCTCTAATCCTCGCTTCACACCCTCAGCTGTGACGTCTGTATAGAAAGCATCCCAGGTACCCCAGCCAAACCAGTTCAGCATATCCGAAATCTGGGCCACGAAGGAGGACATCATAGCTATGCTTACCATTTCAAAGCATTACGTCATACATATAACAACCTTCTTGAGTATATAAGTACCTTCTATCTCTCGCGGTGAGAAAATGTCTCTAGCTGTTTCTCAACTGTCCTGTACACATAAAAGAATGTACTTTGAGGGCACATCATGCAGATCGAATACTTTCTCGGCTATATCTGATGATAAGAAGTAGAATTTCATCCACAGCAAACTCACTCACTTTGGCATCGTCAGCATAAAGCTTGACACCACTACCATTTTGAACTTCATTAGGACCTCTAACAGCGGGCAACATTCTATCAAACGGGAAATCCCGGGTCCTCAGAACTAGCTTCCGATTCGGCATTGGGACATTTGACCAATTTTTCCAACACCTCCAAGTTGCAATAAATCTCAAATCTCCAGAAACTGATGCATCTGTCTTTTACTGTATCGGGTGGCGCATAACATAATCAGATTCGATTCTGAGCTCTAGGAGAGCTTGTAAGACCTTTGTACTTTGCTTCCAAGATACAATTCTGAAGATCTACTTTTCAAACTTCTTCGCAAAAATAACAATATGTGAGCAAAATGCTAACTCACAGTCATGTCTCTCGTTCAAGATGAATAAGAGAGATCGTTTGTCCAACTTTGGGGTTTTGCATCTATTGTCTTTGCAAAGAGTGCTTTGATTGGCTTAGATGCTCTTCGATGTCCTTGTATATTTTATACGTTGCAGGAGATCATCCTTGCTTGTTGCCATCAACTCAACATGGTTTTGCTGGTTTTTACTTTTTTTACCTCTGGAGGCATTAGTTGAAGTTGTATAATTATCACTTCTTTGTTATTTCATATAAAGTTTCTACCCCATCAAGTATAACAGATATGTTGAAGCTCCTATTATTGTCATTCAGTTTACATATTTATTCAACTTTCACGGGCATTTCTATGGCAAAGTTCAATTCCTATTCATTTACCTTTATGTTCAAATTGGTAGGGTGCTTGAAATGTTCAAGCCCTTGGTCTCACCTTTGACAAAGGTTCTGATGACTGTTTCACATCTGAGGAATTTGGCGTGCTATCGAATTTAAGGTTCCTAAACTTGGATCGACTAATATGAGAGGAAACTTCACTAGTTTTCTTTTAGAATTCAGGTGGCTTCATTGGCGAGGTTGCCATAAGAGCTCTGAGCCTCTTGTTTTGAACCTAGAAAACTTGGTCATTCTTGATCTATCCTGGAGCGTAGTGGCAGATGACTGGGAAGGTTCAACACAAATACTGGAGGTACAAGACAATTTCCGTTTTTTGACTTTTTGTGATGAATAGCTAATGGAAACTGAATCTTTTTTGTCTTTGTTACACAGAAGGCAAACAACTTGAAAGTTATAGACCTAACTGGTTGCGGTCAATTATGTAAAACGCCATGCTTCCCAGCTGGTAGCAAATTAGAAAGACTGATTCTTGAACGATGTTCTCATTTGTCACTTATTGACAAATCCATTGGTAATTTGAAATATTTGAGAGTCTTTGAACATGAAGTCCACTCCGATTGCCCTGCTGCCGGAAGAGATGGGTTCCTTGGATAATTTGGAAGAGCTTCTGATTGATGAAACTTCCATATGTCACCTTCGTTTCTTAAGAGGTTCTATCCAACAACTTAAAACTCTTAGTGCTTCCGGCTGCAAAAAATTTGGCTGAAATATCCGAGTCTATTGGTTGTTTAAGTTCCCTGTCATATCTTGCATTGGATAAAGCCATTATCACAGGACTCCCAAATTCTGTTAAGTTGTTGGAGGGACTTGTGGAGCTGTCTTTAAGAGACTCTCAGCGGATGACTGCACTTCCGGACTCCATTGGGAAGCTTACGTCACTACAGAAAATGGATCTGTCAAACACCAGAAATCAGATATTGCCAGAATCGATAAAAAAATTTGGATAGAGTAGAGGTGCTAAGAATTAAGAATACTAACATAAGAAAGTTTCCTAAAGATAATGTAAATCTAGAGAAGTTGGAAGTCATAACAATTTCTGGCTGCCCTTTGAATGGGAAAATTCCGTGTGATATTTCGGGGTTATCATCTTTGAGAATCTTGAAGTTATCATTTACCCTGATTTTTAGCCTACCCGAGAGCATTTGTCAGCTTTTTTCATCTCTAGACAATCCACTTGCTCCAATTTGATGAACTTCAGATTCTACCAAAATTTCCATCTAGTTTAGTGAGTTTGCGCTGGGGAACCAAAATCATGAGGATCGTTCAGGGTCTTTCATATCTGAGAGATTTGAAAGTTTTGGAATTAGTTAATGATCCCGATGAGAAGAAGATATCTTCCTCTGACCTGTCCCAAACTGAAAGCTTTGCCTGGATATCAAGTTTATCCAACTTAGAAACCCTAAAGCTGTGCCTTCCAAATGTAACTAGTCTACCAGAAGATTTTAATGCTCTTACTCAACTTAAAAAATTTAATTTGTCCTGCATAAACTTGCTAGACCTCCCACAACTTCCCTCAAGCTTATCAAAACTGCTTCTCAAGAATTGCCAGATCCAGAGGTTGGATTTCTATAATCTGGAAACTCTTTAAGAATTGGAGCTCTGTGACTGCAATGCATTGGAAATTCTTGGTCTTGGAAACCCGAGGCTCCTGCAAGTATTGAAGATATCTCGCTGCAATATTAAGAACCTTGATGGTCTCGAACGAGCATCACAATTGAGAAGGTTTTCTATGTCCAAATGCTATTCTCTTAACAGGATGCCGGACTTGTCAAAATGCGCAAGTCTGGAAATTAAGGAAATAGACTTTGGTAACATTCAATGTGGTGGTTGACACATGTTGCGATGTGGGGGGTCATGTTCGGGGCACTGTGATTGTCCGTACCAATATCAATGTGATGGTTGATGCATGTTGCGATCTTAACAGCAAGCTGCTCGATTCCAATTGAAAGAGGTTGGAGTTTATTTCGTTCTCCAAGGTAGGTACTGCACTTTTTCTCTGTAACTACAATTGGTAGACCTTATTTTCAACAGTCTCTCCAAGTTGAATATTTCAAACTTTGTTGTTTTTCTTTATTTCTTTTTTTGCTATTTTCTTACTGCAACATTTCTCTTTCCCATTGTCATACTCTACTTAATCTGTGCTTCTTCTGGGTAACAATGAGATTCAAGAAATAATCATCACATGGACTGTGAAGAAGTAGTTGGTATTGAAGTATTTGGTTTAATGCATTGTATGATTCCTCATTGTTCTATAAACCATCAGCATGAACCAACTATAGCAATTTTGACCAAAAAAAAAAACTATAGCAGTTCTTTTTCTGTTGAGAGCAAAAACTATTTGCAAAAAACAGAGATCTACAAGTTGATGGATTCACCAAGCAGGACTTGGTAAATTTTCAAGGCATAGGAATGTACATGCTAGTACTTTTATAGCTCTGTGTCTCCAAACCTTCTAGGAGAACCTGGTGCCTATAAAACTAGGGATGTGTTCAGACATGTCATACCCAATCAGTTGCCCCAAGTGAACTTTTGTTATTTCATGCAAACTATGCCATAGTGGTCTAAATTGTGTTTAAACGCAGTTTGAAAATCATATCTTATCTTTAGATGTAATTGTTGAACCAATCGCATAAGCAAGCGTATCCAAATTGTCTAAGTTTGTTGTTTTGATGTTTCATTGAGGATACTTGTTTAACAAAGTTGTTCATGATCAAGGATTCTTTTGAGAATTTAATTCTCATGATAGAGTCAGACAGATCCACTGTGTAAAATAAAACTGTGAGAGGAAACATGAAAGCCAATTAATAACTGAAAGATGGTTTAGTTAATAAGTAACACAACATATTGAATTGATAAGTTGGCAGTTGAAAACGTCCCCATTTGTATATTTTTAGGCACACAGTTCCTTGCATGATATAGTATCATGTTCACATTAAGATTTCCATGAAACTAAAAGTGAAAACATGCATGTGATGCGTAAATACATAAGTAATTTTCCTGCAAGTATGAAATTCGTCATATGCCAACAACTATCCATGATTGAATGAGCCATTACTTGCTATTAGTGTCATACTGATTAGTCGGTACTTTGATTGATGGTAACTCAATTGAGGAGATTGTGTTACTTCAACATATTTAGATTATTAGGTGTCCATTTGCTGAATGGTAGCTCACGTTCCTAATAGATAATTATTTCATAATTCAGAATCAACATTTCTTCAGATCACTCCGGGATTGGATAGGGTGAGTTCGGTTTGGAACTTCTTCAGGACGATGTGTGAGTAGAAGATCAAGGACGCTGGTGAAGATAAGCTGAGGTAAAATTACTGATAAGCTGAGATGTGATGTGATACACAGCATTGCATTATGTGGATGCTGTGGTTCGAGCGAAACGGAAGGGCCTTTGACAGGATTGAAGTGCCCTTTTGTCAACCTTGAAAAGCAAGCCCACCGCACCTTGCAGCCTCAGTTGTGATTTCTGAGAGTTTTATTATGAGTTCAGTTCAGATTTTTTCTTCTGCGCAACAAGGTCCTTTTAGTTGATGAAAGAAAGGCCTGTCATTCTGTTCCTCTAGGACTTTTATAGAGTGAAGATTTTGTTGTCTCCATGTTGTATAGCACTGCTGTACATTATATTCTGCAACTCTCGACCTGTAACCAGCCCTCTTGGTTAGTCTATTGTCATTTGTCACTCTCCGTCTCTTGCTGCAAAGCAGAGACCATCAATTACGATTTCCGAATGTTTATAGGATGATTGTAGGAAGCACGTCACACGGATATACTTGGATGGACTAACAAAATTGCAGGATGTTTCAAGCAGTTTGGCATTGAGTCCATATATTGATTTGGCAGATTTCTAAAATTGAAGCAATTTGTTCCGTGTATGGTAAATATATAATGTGAACAGCAAATTTGGAATCGATGGTAAATGAAAGGGCCGTAAAAGGTGACCCGCAATTTGTGAGTCTAGTCAATTATTTGTAAGTTACCAATGAACTAACAATTTTGCTATCAATGGTAGATTGCCACTTCCTTTTAGATTTTATAAGGGGCACCTAGCTGTTTGCAGGGGAAAGTACCAAAAAAGTCATAAACCTATTATATTGATACAAATTCAGTCTTAAACTTTTTAATTGGATCAATTTAGTCGTAAATCTTTTGCATTTGATACTAATTCAACCCATATGGCCAGTTTAGGCCGGAAATTGCTAACATGGACGCCGGCCATCCTACGTGGCACGACCGGCGCTGATGTGGCAAATTTTAATAATATTTCAATATTTTTTTGAATTTTTCAATATGCTTTCTTTTTTTTCCTTTTTTTTTCTTCCTTCTCCTTCTTGGGGCTGTGGCAGGTCATCAGCCACAGGCCAGGGCCGGCAAGGGCGTGGTATCCCTCGCTAGCGAGGGCGAGGGCGAGGACTGGACCCTCGCAACCTAGGCAAGGGCCGCCCTCGCCGAATGGAGCGAGGGCTGGACCCTCGTCGAATCGGGCGAGGGCTAGACCCTCGTCGGCCTCGACCAAGCCGGCGAGGGCCACCCTCGCCTAGGATGTGAGGATCCAGCCCTCTCCCTCGTCGGCCTTGGCCTGTGGCTGGTCGCCGGCCCTAGCTTGTGGCCGGTCGCCGACCCTAGCCTATGGCTGGTCGCCGGCCATAGCCGGGGACCTGCCATTGCCTCAAGGAGAAGAAGGAAATAAAAAAAAAAAGAAAAAAAATATCAAAATTTTCAAAAAATTATTAAAATTTGTCCACGTCAACGCCGGTAGTGCCATTTAGGACAGCTGGCATCAACGTCAGTAATTTCCAACTTAAATTGGCCGGATGGACTGAATTGATACCAATGCAAAAAGGTTTATGACTAAATTGATCCAATTGAAATGTTTAGGACTGAATTTATATCAATGCAATAGGTTTATGATTTTTTTGGTACTTTTCCCACTGTTTGTATGTTATCATGAAACACAAATTTTACTATCGACAAATCCAATAGCAAATTACTGGGTATAGTTGTAATGTAGTTTTGAGAGATGGTACGTTACTAGAACTTTGACGGTCATAATTAGCTGACATTGTTGGTAAATCGCATCGATGTACCCGATCAGCGGGTACAAGATTACCCGATTGTATCATCTTTATTTAGAATTTACAAATGATGTTACTGAACGGAATATTATTGAAGGAGTTTCTCCGGCGCATTGATGACATTTGGGTGCATCACATGTCATGGAACTATCTTGGGAGTTGAATTGACTCCGAGGTTTCTGATTTAAGTTCAAGCATGTTGCTTCTTAGTCTCTTGATTGATTTTATTTAATCATGGAGTTGGTCTTGTTGAACGGGCACCGTTCTCCTCTTCAGGACACTGAAGAGTGAAGACTTTCCTTCATTTTATTTAGTTTTTTTTTTCTTTTTGAGTTGTCAAATTGAATTAATTTCACTGAGAATATAAAAGGAAGCCGTGGGTGAAAAAAGTTATCAAAGATATCGGTCTTGATCCTTCATATCACTCGGAATGTTTCTTATTTTTACTACTAACGAGTGTCTCGGGTATTTTATTTAGATAATTCAATTCTCAAAGTACTCATTATACAAAACACAATAAAAAATCATGTATTGAAAATGATAAAATTTTCTTAATTAATAACTTGATTAGTGTCCATGGAGCACCCGGTAACAAAATCTTTGCTCTAACGACTTGGAGCAATGTCTGCGACCAATAATGATAGAAATGTTAGATTACCAAAAGGATGTTGAAACTTGGGTTAATCGTGAAAATAAAAGTATTTTTACCAAAAATCTTACGGATTATCATAAGTAATTATTGGAAACGGCATCCACCATAGACGGCCGGAGAGCGATAACCCTCAACAACTCTGTTGAAACAAGAACAATGTCCGCAACTAGTAATGATACATTATTTCGATTGAATATTTTCTTTTCTTTTTTTGGATAGTCCCTTTTGTTGATTTTTTCGTTATCAGGGGGTGTGAAAAAACCATCGACTAATAATACCAAAAGCGTCTTCACTTTTCACCCAATAACTAATTATGCACCTATTTATAAAAATACCAAATAGAAAACTGACTTTTCCTCTTGGAAACCACCTTGCGTCTTCACTAGCGTTTTATA